GATTTTTGGTGAGTATTGACAGAAAATATGCATGAAAAGAAAGTAGGGCAGAAACACAGAGAACAGAGAAGTAAGAATGGGATAACAAAAACATGGGAATGAGAAGAGTACAAGAGGGAAGTGTGGAAGATGCCCAGAAGAGTCCTAATACACAACAGAAGAATTTTCATTGAAACTGGAACTGAAAGAGTACTTTTAATACACCTATCATTTTATAAAAGGTTTTGGTTTTTTCTTTGAACATAAATTATACAAAGTATGAGGTGTCTGGTGCTATGTAACAACTTATCTCCCTGTCCCATTCCTTTTTCCCTTCTCATTAAACTGCCAGCTCACGCAGACATATAGTCCCTTATAGAGAGGGCTTTCCTTAATGGGGGTCATAGGTGGTGTCAGTGTTTGTGTTTAGTACTACCCCACTCCTACTAAATTAGATTCTAATGTAATATAAGTGTGGGGGTTCATTAAAAGCAGTAATAGCAACAACAACAACAAACAAGAAAAGTATCACAAACTGCCTGAAACGTCTGCCAATTTCAAAAAAAAATTGACTGAAAATGAGGGTTCTGGTAAAAATCCCCTCCACTTACTCTCTTTAAATTCAGTCTTGTCTTGAAATGAGCCGTGAAAAATCCAGCTAATTTCCTCTACCACTCTACTTCTCAGCCAAAACCATTTTCACCTACCTCTTTGATTAATTCATCCTTACCCTAGACTTCATTTTGTTCACTTAAACTGGTAGTAATGTGTGAGGGATGAATTAATACATTGCTTCTTAATGTGATTTCCAAGGCTCATATTAGTAATACTAGGGGGCCCCTGGTGGTCTAGTGGTTAGGGTGCAGGACTCTCACCGCTGCGACCCGGGTTCGATTCCCGGCCCCCCGGGCAGATGGAGCTCGTCAGCCCTGTAAGGCAATCCATCTAAGAGAAGGTCACTCTAAACAAACCTACGTCCTGGGGACCTCACTGCCACTGTCCAAGCTTGCTCGGCCCCGGCAGATGAACCTCAGGATTAAAGGGTGGGCTCAGTTCAGCGCACGCTGTGTCTCACCTAAAAAATCCACTGCGCAGGCTCGAAGGGTTAATGACCTTTCCCAAATCTTCGCTCGCAAAGACTGGCCATTATTATTAGTAATACTGTAAAATAGTGCTCTGTAACATCTCTTAGTCCAGCAGTTATTTGTACAACTCCTTGCAGTTTAAAATTGCACAGCTGCACGAATTTCACTTGGAGAATGGTTGGCAAAATGCCAGCTATTGAATCAAATAAATTCATTATAAATTCATATAGTTCTGCATTCATCTGCATATAAACCACATTAATTTTCACTAAATCATAGTTATACTGATACAATGCTATTCACAAAAATTACTGTTCTATTTATACTGTTCTATTTATACCATGTATACAGTTGGCATTATGGCATAAAAATATACACTGGAACTATATTCCTTTCAAATCTTAACCTGCTTATGCATTTAATAGATATTAACTTAAAAAGTGTACATTTCCTTGTAGAAAGACAGGAATGACAACAAATGATTTATGATGGTTTGTATTGCATCAGGAGATTTTTCAAAGTTCACTTGCCAAATCTTTTCTGTTTAGATTTATTTATTTTCCTTTATGAAAATTCTCAGTTTGACAGGGTTGTGCTTCTTAATTTCATTTCAGCTTAAACAGATTTGTTTCAAATGCTAATATTGAAAGTTAATTGTAACTTCTACCTCTAAATTAACACAACTGAAATACTGTGTGTGCTTTCTAGAGGAAGGAAACTGATATAATTTTAAGGATTTCTTTTATTTTTTAGGAGTTGTTTTAGCTGAAATTGTCTTTTACCTCAGCTCTGAAAAAAATTCCCGAGAAGAAATCATTACAGGACACAGATTACCTGAAGGGTATGTATAATACTAATATAAGACTTATAGTAAATAGAAATCTTCCTTGTGCAATCTTTCTGAAAGTCGGGAAATAACAGCTGTTATGTGATATGATATCTTTATTGCAAACATAATACTCAAGTTAGTGCTTTTCATTACTGATACAGGATGAGGTCATGGGAGACTACATAAGGGATTCCATAAAGAACACACAAGAAAATGGAATCTATTAATAAATACATAAATGCAAATGTCTTCTTGTACAACTACATATTTTGTACAAGTTTGTGTGCTCAGTAAACTCTTGGTTAGCATGTTTTCATGCACCTACAGCAGATTCATGATTGTCAGTTCCTACCTCTGTCCTGTGTCCTACTGAAATATTAATGAATTGCACAAGAATTCCCTGATATCTACAGTCATTTGATACCAAGCCGACTTAAAAAAATTCCATAAGCAGTCACAGGTACACTTTGAACTATTAACTTGTTGTTGTTAAGCAAAAATAGCATGTTGGCATTTTAACAGTGTTGTAAACCTTGTTTTGGAAGATTTTGTGACAAGGAAAATTATATACTTTTGTAGCAGTTTAGACCAAGGCCTTAAAAAAAAAAATCTTTAGAAATGCTAAAATTCCCACATCTCTTTGAGGTAGATTTATGGGTGTTATACTTTCAACTCAGGGGCATATTAACAGCTTTTCTGTGCTTATGCAGTACCTAACACCTTTTTTTTTTTTTCCTAGTAGTGGTCTATCTCCACCAGCAAACTCTGAATTGTCGTGTAACTCTGGTTCCTATTGTCATGGGTAGAACCCCGCCTAAGGGCAATCAGAGGCGTGATCTCAGCTGCAGCTCTTCCATAGGAAGTCTAAGCCTTTGCTTATCTGTAGAAAAGATCCACTAGAGAAGGCTTTCTCATTTTTGTAGCTCTTCGGCAGGTATTCTTGATCTATGATATATTTGTCTAAACATTATGGTTAGCTTCAGCACTTTCAATAGAAAGATTTATTTCCAACCCAGTTATCATTTTGTGGAACTAGATTTAGGAAGAAACATGAATATAAGATAGGACACTGGCAGTTGTGGTGCTGTTTTATCATCTCAAGCTGAAATGTTTCATTGTGATGTGATGGTACTTGGAATAAGTTGTGACAATAAAAACGGTGCCAACAGCTTGTCGCTGTTCATGGTTCATGGTTCTCTTAATATCAGCAAACAGAATTGATAATAACAACTACCACTATCAACAGGGCTCAGCAAAAGGTTACACAGATGATCAGCTGCTACTTACTTCCAGCTGTAGTTTTCTCTCTCTGATGGCAATGCACAAAAATGTTACTCTCACATTGGCTAGAGCCATCTGTAGAACCTTTACAAAACTTAAGAGCAAATCTAAAAGACATTTGAGTGCCCAAGTCATGCTCTGGAAAAGATAAAAAAAATGTAGATAGGATTTAAGTTGTTAGACACTGAAGTATTTTTCAGGTCTTTGTCTGCCACATTTGCTGAAGGTAATGAAGGTATTTTGTTGTCTGTCATGCTTCCTAAAAAGAGTTGGCAATTCCATCTTCAGATTGGTTCCTACTTCAAAAAATTCCTGCATAATTTCCTTTCCCATAAGTAATGAAGAAGTGGAAATAAACAACCCAAGATGTTTCATTATTTGAAAAGAGATCCAGTCTAATTTGAGGCCTGCACTTGCTTTGAGGTAATAATATCAACATTTCATGGAAATTTATAGTTTTAATTAATCAGTAATTGATTTATAGAGTGTCTGCACAGGTTACTTAGACTATGAAAAACTATTTAGCTTTTCTCCCAAGTGACTGAAATAATCAAAATAATTTCTCAGTCTTTCAATCACTTTAAATGAAAGCTTTATCCCGTTCATTTTTGACCTCCTGACAGAATCAACCGTCATTTAAGTAAAAAAAAAGGTAGTGTTTTTCCACAGAAAGTCACAGAAGCAGTAGACTGCACGTGAGGCCAGCTGGGTTGTTCTGGAGCACACAGTAGAGGAGAGGAGCTGCTTCTGTGATCTGTGGAAGGGTACCCCCAGATCTGCCCACTGGGAACACAATGGTTTGTTGCCTTTTTACCGCAGAGTAACGATTATTATGGGTCCATCTGCCTACAGCACATAACATGGATCATGCATGGTATCAAACAAACGCTATCAGCAAGAAAACAGGTTTTAGAGGGAAAGTGAGAACCTTCTAAAAGGTCTCACGGTGTAATCATTCGGAAAAAAAAAAAGACAAAAAGAAGAGGAGAAGAAGCCAGATAGTGTTTTTAATATAGCACATCTCAACAAGCAGCTCCATGCAGACCTAAGTGGAAAGCCAAACCTTGCCTGCTGGTGTCCTTTCCCGGGCACCGTGGGAAGAGATGCTCTCTGGTGGACAGAAAGAAAAGCTGGTTTGAGAAACCTGCTGCTGTGCCCTCGGTGAGCTAGATGAGGCTCAGGAGAGGACGCAAGGCTGAGAAGCGGCAAAGAGTGCATTTCATCTATGACAACCTGCCGGGAGAGTGGGATTGAGGAAGGGAGTCTGACCCATTGCCCGCTCATCCAAAGCGCCCGAACGGAGATCTGTGGATGTCCTGTGCACCCGGCTGCGGACTAGGCGCGGACCCCGGGCTCCCATAGGACAAGGTGGCTGGAGCGCCTCAGCCTTGGCTCCGAGCGCCAGGCAGGGCAGCTCCTGTCCGCTCCCGCCCTGCCCAGCGCCGCGCTGGGACGGCGGGCACAGCCCCGATCCCGCCGCCACCCTCGCACAGCTCTCCGCCGATCCCGCCGGGTGCTCTGTCAGTCAGGGCATCGCCGTCCCCGCACGGCAGCCTCTGCGGGAGCGGCGGGAGGCTCCGCCTCCGGCCGTCCGGGAACAGCCTGATAAAGGCAGGTGCGGGCAAGCAGCTGGACCCCAGCTCGAAGCATCTGCCTGTGCGCGGAGCCCCTGACCCGCCCTTGGCCACCCCGCGCAAGGCGATACCCGAGCCCGCCGGGGCGGTGTGGGACGGGACGGGACGGGACGGGACTGGAGCCTCCCGACGCCGGCCGCGCGCGCCGCTGTCCCGCCGCCTTGAGCCGTCGGGCGCGTCTCTGCGAAGGGACAAGGACCTCGCCCCCAAGGACCTCCGAAGAGGCGGGATTTCTCCGGGAAGGGGAAGCAGGATTTTGTTGTGTGACTTGGAGATGAGGCAGGTATCTGGAGTGGGGCTCCTCTTGGGGCTGATGGCTCTCCCAGTGGCGCTGGGACAGAGAAGCTCGGAAAGCGCTAAAAATAGCAACCAAAGCTTTGCCATCGTCTCTTTCAAATGGGATCACGTCAAGGAGCCTTATATCATTGCACTCTGGATACTTGTGGCCAGCTTGGCCAAAATCGGTAAGTCCGGAGTTATATATTAATACATGTCCTCTTCCTTTCCCTTCCCCCTTCCCCTTCTTGCACCCAACGTAAATGAGGAAAGCTTGTCATAAGTCCACTGACCCGTTTTCAGGGGGTTTACTGTACTCTGTCCTGATTTCATAATACAGCCTTACACAGTGCTTAGTAGGGTGATTTTCACCTGCCTCAAGGTGTTACCTAGTTCATTTTCACCGCCCAGACTGTGTCTTCTGCATCTGTCTCCTTGTAAAGCCTTGCAATTCCTTGAGACCTTTCATTCCTGTTGCTCCCGGGAAAACTTTTTGCAAAAGTGAAACAGAAATCGAGCCTTTTAGCTTACACAATACCTGTTCCACTTTACGGTGTGCCATTCTCCTGATTATGATTGTTAGCTCTATCAGCCAGTAAAATCAAAAATAAACACTATAAACTACACGTATGAACGTAGCATTCTCAGCTTTGAAGTGCATTGCTGAATTAGTGAAAGAGCATGGTTTATAAAGGTAAAAGAGCATGGTTTATAAAGGTAATATGTATTATCAGACCATTTGATGTAGCTGAAAAAATTCAAGCTTTCGAGCACACAGAATTTTCTTCAAGAAATTAGAATCAATGAAAAACAAGGACTTAACCTAACTTCGGTATAGTTTAAATGAATTTTTATTAATGCTCTAACTCTTGTGTCCTGAACTTCGTGACTCTTCTGAAAGCATTTTTATATCAATAATGCTCTTTGCTGAACTAGAAGAGTCATTGTTCAATTGGAATGTATTTTATTTCATATATGCTATTGTTTTCAGACCTTTTACCTTGAAACTTGAAAAGGTAAAAAGACTTCCAGTTTGGCTAACACTGTAAATGTCATTTCCATTTTCAAGAAATCTTCTCTATAATCAGTTTCAACTCAGAAGGTCAGCTGAAAATCCTATTAATATTTTTCTGAACTTGTACTCTTAGTACTAATTTGATGTACCAGAATCACATTCTACGGATTTTACATGTCACAGAGAATGAAAGATGTAAAAAGGTATACTCAGGTATATTCTGTCTAGCACAAAAGACAAGCACAGTAAGACTTGCGTGGAAAATGCTGTTTCCAAATCCAAATAAAACATTTTAAAAATGAGTATTAAGTTATGTAAAAGTGATACCGTACAGCACTTTTCAGCAATATTTGCATCTTGGGTTTCACTTGATTAACCATAGATATATAACTAAATACCTTTATCTGAACCTTTATCTAAACCATGCAAATAGTTTGTGTTCAGATGGTTGCTGCAGCACCTAGATTACATAAGAACCAGTTTTGTTTTAATTGACTTTTATTGATGGGTTATAGCAATTAGAAAGCTGGGGAAACCACATACAGGAAAAAACTGACAACACTGAGTCGCTATAAAATTGTGCAGACTAAACTAAAACAGGCTACTCATTTGAACCTTCTTTTTGTGATACTTTTCTAAATAAGTATAGTTATTAAGGCGGCTTTGTGTTATTTAGCCTTTGCTGCTCTGTACATGTGCCACAGTTGTACAGAGTAATATTAGTACTGCACAGCTATATCAGTGTGTCTCTGAAACCCAATGAAGCTAACAGAACAGTTAGATTGTACTCTCTTTATATTACAATGGCCTGGATTGAGATTCATTGTGATTAAGATGAACCATTTTACCATGAAGTCCTCAATATAAACTCTTAATAAAGCACTAATTGTCAGGAGCTGAATGGTACTGATTCTGTTTTAAAGTTCTTTGTACTTCTTTCAGAGATGCACAGAGCATGTCACTTACTAGTAGATAGTACCTATCATCAACTCCATCATTTTTCTTCCCCGAAACTCTCAAGCTTCGTTCCTTTCTCTCTTCACATTTGTGTTTGCGATTCTATACTACTCTGGACATTTTCTCTGAAGAAGCAATGGACGACTGCTGTATTCCCCTGAGAGCCTATGAATGCTCCTGCTTTCCCCACCAGTCACAAATAACACATAGACAAGCAGGAATGTACATTCGCTTTCAATAGCTTATTAATGGAGAAAGCCTGAAGGGGTTCATAAAAGTCGATGAGAAAGGGAACAGAAAAAACACAGCTTGTCACCTTTCTATCTACCTTGGTGTGTCAAGGGTTCTGGAAAGTAGGTCAGAAATCTATCAGAAGATTTTGAGTGGCAAGAATCCTCTGCTTGTTCAAAGAAGATTTACATATCCGAAAAGGAGACAGAAAAGAACAGAGAAAGAAAATACAGAACAGCTGTCCTTCAGTCTCTTGCTTTACTACCTGAAGGAGGGCAAAGGTAGCGCTGTCAAAATGCTGGTTTTGCTCTGGGTTTTTCAGCAGGGGAGGAGCTGATCTTATATACTCAAGCTCACTTTTCCACGGCTACAGAGATTGAGAGAGCTGTTTTACTAGTGGATGATAGGCAACTGGGTCAGCAGAGAGTGTTCTGGGAATTGCAGTTGGTAACTGGGGATAAATGTATACAAGAATACTTTGCCTTCTCTTGCATTAGAATAGCCTTAGGCATTCTGTGTTTGTTTTGTTTGTTTGGTTGGTTTTTTTAGTTTCGTTTTTTTCATTTGTGTGGAAGTTTTTTTTAAAAAGTTTCAGTTCATGGTGTCATATGGCTTGGGACTGTATTTATTAGGAGATTCTTACAGATTTTCTGAGGTTTGATGTTTATGTTGTGTACATTCAGAATGCAAATTAGTGCTGACAAGGTATTCTGCAACATAAACTATTGTATGTGAAACCTCATAAGCATCCCAAATACATGAAGAAGTGGCCTAGTGTTTTGGGCTCCGTGGGAAGGAAGCTGCTATTATAGTTTACTTTAGTTTAGTTTTTGTCAAGTCTAAGTATTGCTACAAATGAAACTGTGGAAGAAGAGTCTTCATACACTTGGCTTTCATGCATAATAGGAAATAAATGAATTTGTATCTCGTATGAAACTGCTGATGCATCTTGGTGTACTGTTTTACATATTATAATTGATTTGATTTAACCCTCTTCATTTGAAGTGTTCTAACTCATCATTCTTCCACTTCAAGTGGAACTTTCATAAGGTTCACAATGTTCCATTTTGGCTAATGGTCTTTATTTCCTCTTTTTGATAGGCTTTCTTATCACTATAGATGTGTATCCATATGGGATAGGGCCAATAAACTACTCACAGGTGTAAATCTAAGCCAGAAAAACATCTTATCTATGTGAAGAAGGTACATGAGGTACAACTGAGAACCCTCCTAGTGGACTTTATGTGTCCACTTCCTGATACCTCAGCTTTCCAGATGAAATAAGAAATACCACTGAAAAAAACCCAAACAAACATGCGTTTATCGCTATAGACTAGGGCATTTCCTACCAAAACTATGCAGGTAGAGGGTGTACCATTTTTAACCAACTGCGTACAGAGTACAGTTCTAAGACAAAAGACGTGTACACTGACCAGACTTGCATATGCTTTTTAAATTCACTTTGTCATGTACTCTCCTCTTTCTTTATATGTCTTTCATGGAACATATCTTGAAAATAATCTTTTAATAACAGACCTGTAGAAGATACAAAGAGTGTCTTGGCAGAAAAATCTGCTACAGAAAAAGCCAGAAGTAGGCAGGAAATCAGAAAACAGCTGTGGAAACAAGTGGAAGAAGGAAAGGAATAATGAATCCAGGAGCTAAAATTAGGTAAGAGAAGAAATAGTTTAAACACTAAATATTGTAGACAATTTTTTTTCTTTTCTGAGGATATCTCTCAATTGCAAAAAAAAAAAAAGAAAAACGAGAAAGAAGAATGCTTTCTACTTGGGGGTTATCCAGTGCATGCTTCTCTACTTGTTCAAAATCCTAGGTAACAGAGAAAGATGGTATTTATATTTTCAATGGAGGTTATGTTGGGGAACTTGGAAAATTCCTTAATTCCTTCTTGTAGTTTAAATCCTTTTGTGTACTGTAACATTTTTATGACATTTTTTTCAGAAGGATAAGCAATTAGTCCCCAAATAGTAGTAGTAGTAGTAATAATAATAATAATAATAATAATAATAATAAACAACTTACAAAGCAGTCTATCTGTCTGTCTAGCTGCCTGGATTTGTTCAATATGTGCAGATAAACAACTAGAAGAAATGGTGGGAGAGTGAGTGACTGTGAACAGGAATGAAGAAGGGTACAAAGCCTTTTCACTATTTGAGGCAAATGTCCTGCCAGCTGTTTTTGTTGGTATAGTTTATGCTGCATCTAAGAATGCCACAAAAGCTTGGGGTTTTTATAATTTCTGTGTATTTGTATGTATATTCTAAAGGCTTTTATATTAGAAATTTAAAAGTGGGAGCGAAATATGAATCCAGGACAGTGGGTAAATCCGTCTTCAGGAATGCCACAATGCTTTGGAGGAGGGGGAACAAGTGATTCAATAACAATGAACAAACATTTAGGAGAAGGCTGGTGAAGATACTGTGTCAGATGGACTAGTTGAGTCCATCAGCTCTTGAGACTCCAGGAGGACATGATCTGCAAAACACAATGCATCTCTAAACTTAGAGATATGGATCCCTACAAACACACTAGTTTCTGCATGCCTAGGCTCCTTCACATTGTCTCAAAGTACCCTGAGAAAGGATCTGTTTAGAGTATTTTGTGAACACAAACAATTGCTGTGGAGAATTTTAAGCATGTTAGGGATGGGCTAGGGAAGGAATTGTGAAATGCAGGTCTAACCACCCATCTAATTTCGACTCCTGGGGCAATATTTTCTTTGAAGAAATCAATAACCCTCCCTCCAAAGCAAACTGTCAAAACAAAAGCCCATTTGACTCCAAAGTTTCTCCTCCTGGCATTCTAGGCTACTGATAAGTGTCAGTTACAAAGCGAAAATGATTTAGGGTATTGTTTTAATGAAACAAAATGTGAGAATTGCTCTTCTGTTGCCAATTCTTCAGTAAATAACATCTTTAGGAAGAAATGTTAAAGGATGCTTAGCAGAACTTTATTGGTTGTATT